CCTTTGTCTTTTATGAGTCACCTTCACCTCTGCTTTGTGCTAGTCTCGTTTTGTATATGCATGAGCATTTGAGTCTGAATTTAAGTTGTTTGTAGTTGACGGTTGAGTGCTCTGACTCTATATGTTTGATTGCCTGACACATGAAAGTACTTAATATATGTGTGTTGAATGAATGATTATGATAACCAAGAGAATTTCAGATGTGATGTTAAGAGAATTTGAAATTATTTTGGTTGTGTCTCTGATTTGCTGTGAAGAAAAATACTTGTCTAATACATGACTCAGTCAGTGGTAACCCAGTGAGTGTGTGCATGCCTGTGCTGTGAGGTCACATGCACTTGTATTTATATACACTCATATTGTACATATAGAGGATACCAGGACAGAATTTCCTCTTAGTGATATCATTAGTTGTGTTGCCAGTCAGCTCCACCTTTTCTACTCTGCTCTCCTATTGTCCCCTCATGATTTGTCTTCTTGTGTGTCCCCCCCTAGTCTGACTGACAGTTCTGCACAAGCCTGCCTGCCATGGGCTGTCGGGATGTCCATGCAGCCACAGTCCTCTCCTTCCTATGTGGAATTGCTTCGGTAGCAGGCCTCTTTGCAGGGACTATGCTTCCCAACTGGAGAAAATTACGACTGATCACGTTCAACAGAAATGAGAAGAACCTGACAGTTTACACAGGTCTGTGGGTAAAGTGTGCCCGCTACGACGGGAGCAGTGACTGCCTGATGTACGACACTACTTGGTACTCATCAGTTGACCAACTGGACCTGCGAGTTCTCCAGTTTGCCCTGCCCCTCAGCATCCTGGTCGCAATGGGTGCCCTGCTGCTCTGCCTGATCGGAATGTGTAACACAGCTTTCAGGTCCTCCGTGCCCAACATCAAACTGGCCAAATGTCTGGTCAATAGTGCAGGCTGCCACCTGGTGGCTGGGCTGCTGTTTTTCCTGGCTGGTACTGTGAGCCTCTCACCATCCATCTGGGTCTTCTTTTATAACATCCATCTAAACAGGAAGTTCGAGCCAGTCTTTACATTTGACTATGCAGTATATGTCACTATTGCTAGTGCTGGGGGCCTGTTTATGACTTCTCTTCTACTGTTTATTTGGTACTGTGCATGCAAATCTTTGCCTTCTCCTTTCTGGCAACCACTGTACTCCCATCCTCCCAGTATGCATACTTACTCACAGCCCTATTCAGCACGCTCCCGCCTCTCTGCCATTGAAATTGACATTCCAGTAGTTTCACACACCACCTAATGGAGAAATAGTTGTTAAAACTGTGAGCCTCACATTTCCCTTGTACAAAGAGCTGTTTTGGATAAATATACATTTTCTTTTGTTTCTGACCAGTCTATAAAGCCAAATTTGTTATGTCCTGGTAGAATGAAGTGCTGCTAGTTTTTATGAAAAGTACATTATTTTAAATGTGAATCATTCCTTTTATCTTGCTTCTTACACTAGGAGGATTTTTAACCTCCATATTGATATCTGATCAGTTATTCAAATGGAAAGGACCTGTGTCTTATTTGAAGTGACTTAGAGCAACATGGTAGTGAAAAAAATGATGACTAAGAGAAGCTATTGTATATGATCTTTATCAATATTTCAGAATGTGTAGTCCTTTTCTATAATACCTTAACTGATTTTGTCACCGTTGGGGCCAATTGGAGTTCGGTGTCATCCCAAAGGTAGAGGGGAGGCAGAGGGATAAGGCAGACCTGTCGTTAGCATTTTTCCTCGGTTCTTCCTCATTGACAGTGAAGAATCACAAGTCATTGAGATTTAATAGTTTTATTAAAAGTATGTTTTAGAAAGACAAAATATGCCCCAAGGAGGCACCTGGTCCCAGTGCTGTAACCAACACAAAGGGACCAAAATGGCTACAAAAGAGCAAAAAGGCCACAAAAGGCTACCAAAAAAGGAGGAGAGCCTTGAAGGGCAAAAAGGATCCAGAAGTGGGGAAGTCTGCCTTATATTTGGGCCCTGATGGGTGGTTTCAAAGACATTCCTAGGTGATTGGCAAGTGAGGTCACCTTGATTGACACCTGGCTGCTATATAACTTTGCCTAGTGTGCAGGTGCTTACCTATAATTCAGTCTGTTATAATTAGATTCATGAATTTCCAGGCATAGTCATGAGATTATAATGATGGTATAATGAGGCTGAAGTTAGAGACAGTACTTTCTACGCATGCGTTTATAGCTGGTTTAGGCCAGCAGCTTTTATGGCCTTTATACTCTAGGATTTGGGGTAATTGATAACCCTAAAACGGAGGTATTTCTGGGAGGTTCTTAAGGAAGGTCTTCAAGGGAAGTTTCTATGGTTACGGGGCTGAGCCCCTATTCCTTTGTTCCCCTATTGCTCATGTCTGACTACCTAATAGTTTGAAAAAAGGGCAGTTTCAAATATAAGAAATTTCTTTCAGGTAAGGGTAATAGCTTAATAGTAGTCTACCAGCTTAAGGCTGTGACTTTTCTTACATCTCTCTCGGGGCTAATTGTATTGAATAGAGTTAGGCATTTTAAAGAGTTCTTTTGTGAGTTCCTTATCTTCTACCTCATGTCAGTGTTCAGAAATAAAATGCATTTCAAGTGATGTCAGAGAGAAAGCCTAACATTTTAAATATCTATTAGTATGGATAACATTTAACATAATTTTAGAAGTTGATTCTATAAACTTTTTTGGAATTATTGTATTATTAGAGTTAAAATGTGCCATGTAATGGGTTGGTGCTTCCTTTGAGGCAGGAAAACCTTTTTGTTTTTACAGATATCATCCAAGTGGTACTCGTGCCCACGTATAATCTCTTAGTGACTAAGAGAAAAAATAGAGGCCCAAGTGGTTTGTTTTCTTTTAGACAATGGTAGAGGACAGGCATCTGTTCTTCAGTGATACACATCGGCGATTCACTCTGGTAACTGCCTTTTGAGTGATGGGTGAAGTAAGGTATGGCTTCACTATGCCCACGTTCACCCTTGATTCAGTTCCTGCCCCCATCTCTGAATATATCCTTGAGCATATATCTTTGCCCAGTACTTTAGTAGGAGTTGTAGAGGATACATGAAAAGTATGAGACCTGGTTCTATCTGCTAAAAAATTATAATTTAATAGAGAAGGTCAAACTATTGACTTCATTGGCAGCTGGTCTTAACTCCTCAGTCATTAATCCAAGAATATATTTCAACCAGAGACATGGCTTTCTGACAGATGGGCTTATTGTACAATGCCAGCAGTATTCTGGAACCTAGAAATTAAATTACTTGGATCTTTTAGAGCACCTACCTTACCCTAGTTATTACACTGTAATAACACTATATCAGATTCATGAGAATAAGCAAAAGTAGTAGAGAAGTTGTTTACCTCTGAAAGTATGATGATGTATTGAAGAGGGAGGAGTATTTAAAATCTCTCTTCAAGTGGGCTAACATTTAGATGAACCCATGTTAACACTGAGATAGATGAATGCTTAGAAATTCAGGGATATTGGGTCTTTACCCATATGAATTTGAGCTGCTTAATTTGTATAATTTGCTACAGGTCAATACTATGTTCATAAGGATTTTGTTCTGTTAACCATTACAAATTTCACCAATAGCTAGTTGCATGATAAACAAATTATTATGCCTCTTTGCAAATCTGAGTATGATTCTGGTACTTCTGTGGACGTAAGTGGTGTTTTTTTTCTAATTCCAACACTAGTTTATGTATATAGCAAATAAATCCAGGTGTATAATTTTTAAATGCCGTCAGGAGAAAGCATGCACAGCTACAGTTTTTTAGTAATAGCTCCTGATTTCCTTCAGTTCCATTCCTTTTAACTTTTCTCAGATTGAGCTGAGTCTTGATCATTCCAAGACAAAGGCAGGTAGAATTTTGAAATGAATATTAATTTTCCCCTTTGCTAATTAATTTCAGTCCCCTCTCACTTTGTCCAGAGGTGTCAAGAATTCCACCATCCTGCTGTTCTTTGTATAAACAATGTTTAAGAAAAGCAGACTCAACCATTGATATATCAGACAGTTTTTAGTCCATGGAATCATAAATATAAATGTTAAGCTTTTCCTACAAGAATCTTTTCATAATCTGTAGCCTTAAATCAGTATTTATTATAGATTCACTAGACAAAATAAACAGCTGTTTCCCTTATTGTCTTTAATACTTCAGATTTGCTATCAGTAGCTCTTCTTCAAAGCCATTAAAGGAAAGCAAGTATTTACGTTTTTTTGTAACTTTTGAGCACTCATCAGGCTATCATTGTGATGGGGGATTTTTTGTTGTTGTTAATGGCCTTTTACAGAAGCCAGCTTTAAAAACAACTTTAAATGTGGTATGATGCACCAGATTTGGTTTATTCAGCCATGGGAGAAAAGATCCCTAAGTTTACTTTACATGTAAATATATGCTGTAATAGATAATATGTTTGTTGTAAGCTGCAATGTAAAACCTCGATAAAACTGCACTGTACTTCTTGATGTTATTAAAAAATGTATTTTTACAAGTTTCTGTACTCATTTTCTTCAGTGCTTTAAGGTGAAATATTTTGAGAAATGTTTCTCAAATATATGTAAATTGAAAAAGATACGGCCCCATTTAAAGTTCTTTAGAATAGCAATTGGATAGGAATTGGAAAACTGGATTTATTATTTCAGAAGCATCAAGACTCTTTATCCACTTCTAAGAGTGATCTTAGGAGTTGACTGTTTTAACATTTCACGAAAAAGCACTAAATGAAATCAGTGTGCCAAATTTGCCTTATTGGTGGAGTTTTCTGATGATCTGTGATTTTGGACTTTGAGAATTAACAAGTAGTTAAGTTGGAGGACCTTTCCTTACTCTATAGAACTTGAGGTTGCCAGAAGTGGTCCTGACAGGTAAGTCACCTTAAAATTTCTGAAACCCTAGCTGAGCTCTTAGTCTTGGGCTACAGCCACCTGGGAATGTTTCACACATGTACTCTCTGAACCCACGGTACCATAGATGGCAGAGCCATATGTTGCACTGGAAATCCGAAGCCACTTCAGGCTGGGCATCCCCAGCCGATGATGCTGATGTGCCTCCATCCAGAGTCGGCCCCTCAGTTGGGTAGGCTTGCTGAGGCTGACAATGCCAGATAATCTCTTCATGCTAACCAAGTTCACAGGAAACTGATTTACCAGCCAGAAATGAGAATTACAGATTACTGGCACCCACTTTCCAAGGCCAGTTTTTTTTTTTTTGTTTTTGTTTTTTTCATTTCTTTCTGAAAGAATTTTGTTTGACAACCATAATAATTTATAGGCAATGTAATCAGGGAGAAAATAAAATTGAGTGGTAAACTATTCCAAGAGACAAAGGGAAATACTGCTGTTTGCAGGTAATATGATTGTCCACATAGGGCAGCCAGTAGAATCTACTGTAAGTATATAACTTATAAAAGAATTCAAGTGTTTGGCCAGATTAAAAATCAATAGCAAAAATCAGTAACCCTTCTGTATTTCAGCAGTCATCAGATAGAACATATAAAATGCTGTTCCTGTAAATACTATAAAATAATACAATAGGAAACAGCAACTTTATTATTATTTTCTTTTTACACCTACAGCACCTGGTATTCCAAGTACTAACCAGGCCTGACCCTGCTTAACTTCCGAGTTCAGACGAGATTGGGCACCTTCAGTGTGGCATGGCCATAGACCAGAAACAGCAACTTTAAATCACCTGGGAAGTGTATATAAAAGAGAGAGAGACATGCATACTCAGTCTGTGATTTTGAGCTAATTCTGTAGTAGTTTACATATATAGTATTTAGCTAGGGAGGTCTCTATGGACCTTGCAAATATAATTTATTCATTTTAACATCAACTCTTATTGAGGACTTATATAACTTAAGGATCATTTTGTATTTTATTTTCCTGAGACATTATCCTATAGCAAGACCAGTTTTTAAAAGTACACCCTACCCAAAGCTCCTTGGAGAAAAGACTGATTCCAGTCCTGTGATAGAAAAGTACAAGATGAGCCCAGCACATGTTCTCCCAGAAAGTAAGGAAATGCTCAAAGAATGATAAAGACTTATCAAGTCACATAGGAACCAGCTTGAGATTACCACCGGCCAAATCTGGAAAATATGAGTGTAAATGTAAGTAATAGTAATGGGTTATATTTCACTGAATAAACCAAAAATTCATATGTCCGTACTGATATAAATAAGTAGGGAAGAAAGAAAAGCTGTTTGTTAGAGTAAAATACCAAGTAATATAGAAAAACATGGAATTAGGAAGATATCAGAATTAAAACTAGTTGGTGAAAGTTTGATGAAAAACACTATATTAATTACAAAATACTCCACAAATGTTAATTTGAGCAGGAAAAAATATATAGTGGATAAATTTGGCAGACAGCTTTAACTGAGTAATCAACTTTATCACCAATAATAAGACAAACTAATGTCACGCACCTCCTGATATGATGCAGTGAGGTCACATCATTGCTTTTATGGCATTTCCATTCAAAATATATAGCTTTAGACTAATCTTGAAGAAATCGTGCAGCTTGTCAGTTCCATTTTTGTGTTTTGCTTTTCTCTCTTCTGACCTCACTCTTCATTTTTATTTGTGAAGCTTAAAAACTTAGAGTCTAAGTTCTTCAAAATATAACTTTTAGGAGGGATTTTTGAAGAACTTTATTTAGTCAGGTCTTCTGTCCTGAAAAACTAAAAAGGAAAGGTCCTACAGAGGAGATGTAAATCAAAGTCACAGGACGGCAGGACTCTTAATTAGCTATCCCATTCCCACTAACAATATCTTCAGTCCTAAAGCATACAGACAGATTAGCCTAAAGGCCATCTCTCCCCTTGCTCCCTGTCCCACACATTGGAGGAATCTTTCTTGAAGGTCACTCTCTCCCTGTACCTCCTGGGCATCTCACCACCCTCCAGCCTGGGAAGGTTCTTTGTCTCTGCTGGACTGTGGAACCCCGGGGAGGAATAGCACAGCTATAATCCGCCTAGTATTCATATCCAAATCTATTAACTGGGAATTTGGGTTTGCTTGTTGTATTTTCTTTGGAAATATGCCAACATTCCAGACTATTCTATAAAATAAATTCTTCAGCAAATTCTGAATAAGAAAGTAAGATGGTGGATGAGGAAAGGAGAGAAAAATTCCAGATTTTGTATGAAAAACCCAATGTGACTGGGTCCTATTAGCAGGAGGCTTGTAATCATGATTTTGAGTGGCCCTTGTTCACTAAAATCCCCTGTAGAAAGACAATATATATTCAAGTCTCCAAGGTTTTGCTTTATAGAGAAATATAACAGCTTCTCATTGAGAGAAAAGGCATTATTCACACTTAACAGTTTGGATACTTAGAGTAAACCAAGATAATTCACTTTTTTAAAGTAATTTTGTCTCTAGCCCCATGTTTCTTTGCTTGCCTTCACTCTCGGGCTAATCTTGTGGTCTAGAAGGTGCAGGTGGGGATTTTAGCATTGGAAGACTGCTGCAGGCAGTGAGGTCCCCCAGGTCCTGGCAGCCCCCCTCTGGGGTGAGCAGGTGCCTAGGAATCCCCTATTCCCCTTTGCTGGCCATGTGAACAAGGACTTTGGCTTAACTGGTCCCTCTTGTTTCCAATCTGCTAACCTGCTCCTGGCTGCTTCTGTTTTAAGAGCTCGAAAGTTGCAGTGGATCCTGGAGCTAGGTAGTACCTGCCAGTTGTGCACATCTCTTCCCAACTTCCTGTCCAGTGACAAGTTAGTTAGGATTTGGGATCTTGTCTGTCTGTCTGTCTGTCTGTCTATCTCTCTCTCTCTCCTCTCTCGTCTCCATCGTTGAGAGCTGTTTGTTAAACATGTCCCAGCATACATCATTACTCAGGCAAGATTAACTTCCTGAGCTTCAGGTTAGTTGATGAGGAAATCAGGAATCATAGCAAGTGCTGGGGGCTATAAAACTTTATCTGATAAAGGGACTCCCTATTTCCAGTATTGTTCCATCTCCCTCCCTACCACCAGCCCATCCTTTACACAGGCAACAGAATGAACCTAATAAAATGAAAATATGAACTAGTGAGACTCTCCTCTACTTAAAGTAATTCAGCAAACATGACTCAGAACAGAGTCTATGCTCTTTAAGTTCTTGTGCAGTAGTACACAGGAGTACATCAAAGAATACAGAGCCAGGAAACTGGCTGGAATAGCATAGTCACACAAGAAGTATCTAGAAGGGGCTGATAAGATTTTTAGCGATTATTGACACTAACAATATCTCATAAGTTGATGTGTAACAAAGAATGCAAATTTAATAATAAGAGGGAATATCCCTTTTCAGGGACTATCAGATTGGTCACATTCCCTCTTCAAGGAATTTCTATTTCCTTTATGATAGAAAGAGTGGCATGATGAATGTGATAACTAGCCTTTAAGATGGCCTGCAATAATCCTTGCCTTCCAGTATTCATACCCTTGTTTGATTCTGTCCCACACTCAGCAGGGCTGAGCTGTGTGTGTTACCAAGAAGATTTTGCAAAAATGATAGTGTGTGACTTGTGAGGTTATATGTCATAAAAGACATTGTAGCTTCTGCCTTTCTTTCTTGGATCACTCGCTCTGGGAGAAACCAGCTTCCGTGTTGTGAGGACACTCACAGCCCCATGGTTAATATAGGAGGAAATGAGGCCTCTGCCAACAGCCGGTACCATTTCGCCTGCCACGTAGTAGAGCAATGTTGAAAGCAGACTTACTCAACCCCAGTCAAACATTCAGACGACTGCAGCCTCATTGAGAGACCCAAGCCAAAATCGCCCAGCTAAGCTGTCCTCAATGTCCTGATATACATAACTGTGTGAAATGCTGCTTATTTTTGTTTTAAGATGCAAAGTTGGGGTGATTTGTTATATAGCAATAGATGACTAATACAAAGACCTAAAGCAATTGCAGGGGATCAATCTTGAGGAATATTTGTTTTTATGCTGTTAAGAGGTATCATGAGCTTTCCTTGCTTCATATCAGAAAAAAATTCTCATGATCCCAGATTCCCTTGGAAACTGCTGAATATTTATTGCCAAAATTAATAAAACAGCCTAATCTGAAGCATATATGTTGGGGTTGGAAGGGGAGAAAGATCTGAACTTAGAGTGGAAGCAAAGTTCTCTCTAATTTTGGTTATGATGCAGGACAGGTTAAATTTCCCTGAGTTGGGGGAGACCAAGGCCCACGCTGAGAGAAGAGGGTCTGTTGGAGGAGAATGTAGAAAGAATTCAACACACACCAAAGTAAGAGTCAAAAGGAAAGTTTATTAGAAAAGTGGTAACATTTCCACAGAGTGTGGTCTCCTCTCAGAGGCAGAGAGTGAGAGGGACTAAGAGAGACGAGGACAATGAGAGAGACAGTAAATACCGAAAGAAAGACAGTAAGAAGGGCCTGGGGCATTCAGTTTATATATCATTTTTTAGTTTCTGTGAGTTATAGTTTAAGGCTTTATAAATCCATTTCCTTTGATACAGACATACAGTGAAGAAGGGG